CCTCGAATCTCAGGAAGAAATGCAGTCAAACTATTCTGATTTATTGGCTGGTCATGAGAAAGCATGTCTGCAACTGTTGGAAAGTGGTCTTGATAAAAGAAAGTACACTGCAACAAAAATTTTGAGTAGCTACATGAATTAAATTATGAGACTCCAGCAATAAGTACTTCAATACTGTGATGAAGGAAAAGCAACAACAGAAGTAGATATTGGAGATTAACTCTTTGACAGAAATGAAGTTGCAAGATCCTAAAGCAATCAAAGTAGAGTTTGCAGACTTTTATAAGTCCTTGAAGGGATCAGCTACAACTACTCTACCAGCAGTTAACATAATGTTTATAATAAATGAACATTGCCTATCACACACAAAACAACTAGAGTTATGTGCTATTGTAACTGATGAAGAAATTTATAAAGGCATGTGCTCAATTGGGGACAATAAAGCTCTAGGAATATATGGATTCAATGTTATGTTCTTTAAAAAGTCTTGGCCCATCATCAAGAATGAAGTATATGATGCTGTGAAGGATTTCTTCAACACATGGACTTTATACAAAGCCATTAATTGCACTACATGACTACACTCAACTTGTTGTCAAAGATTGCAAATACACAATAAAGATTACAGACCCATAGCTTGTTGCACAGTTCTTTATAAGTTGATTGCCAATGTCATTACTGGTAGATTGCTAAAAGTTACGTCACATTATTTCAGAAGTACAAGCAGGTTTCATCCATGGAGAAAAATAGCAGATAACATAATATTAGCTCATGAACTAGTCAAATCTTACATCATGAAATATATTTATCCCAGGCGCGTGATCAAGGTGGACCTACAAAAAGCATTTGATTATGTGGAGTGGATATATCTAGAGCAAGTTCTGAAAGGATTGGCTTTCCGTGAATAGTTTATAAGGTGGATAATGACTTGTGTCAAAATAATAATTACTCCATATTGCTCAATGGTGAATAAGTAAGTGGATCTATTTAATGCTGCTAAGGTAATGAGGCAAGGAGCTATGATATATTTGAGCAGACTTCTCAATGGACTGAAACATGATAAAAGGTCCAAGTTCCATCCTAGGTGTGGAAAATTGGGTATTATTCACCTGAGTTTTGTCGATGATTTGTTACTATTTACCAGAGGAGACATTGAATCGGTAAAAAGACTATATAAGTGTTTGGTTACATTTTCATCTACCTCAGGGTTGCAAGCTAACTTGTCAAAGAGCGCAATATACTGTGGAAGAATGAGAAGCAAGGTAAAAGAAGCAATTATCCATGTGCTGGGGTACTCACAAGGATAGCTTCTCTTCAAATATTTAGGGGTACCACTAGACACAAAGAAACTAACAATGGTATAGTGGCATCCCCTCATTGCAAAAATTGTAGCAAAAATAGCTTCATGGACAACAAAGAATTTATCATATGTTGGAAGGACACAATTGATTCAAATAATCTTATTTGGAATTCAATCCTAGTAGGCTCAGATATTCATCTTACTAGTCAAAGTTATCAAGCTGATAGAATCCTCGCAGAAGCTATATGTGGTCTGAAGGAAATGAAATTAACCAAAAAAAAAAGAAAGCTCTAATTGCTTGGGAGAAGGTCTGCCTACCCAAATCTACATGTGGTCTCAACAGAGTAACCTATGGGTTTGGAATGTTGCTGTAATTGCAAAAATACATTGGGGCTTGACTTGCAAGAAAGACAAAATTATGGATCAAGTGAATACATGCCTACTATATCAAAAGGCAAAGGGTAGAGAATACGACCATACCAAAAAATAACAACTGGATAGTGAGGAAACTCTTTGAAGCAATAGAGGTCATCAATCAACTGCATAAACCACTGTATTATCATAAGAGTATTATAAAGAATATTTATCTTCAATTTATACCAACTGTATACGGTCAAAATCGAGGAGCATGATTTTAAAGTCGAAGTGGAGGTCGGATCTGGCTGAGGGACATATACCTCGAGGAAGCTGATCGAAGGTCTGGCACGGCCTACATCGAGGGCAGCATAATCTCGAAGTCAATCAAGAAAGAGCGGGAATTTCTCAAGGGCACGTGGACCAGGGGATAAATTAAAAGATAAGATTTGTACGAAATGGTACAGGTCCCGTACTAGGCTGTTATACACCTGTACCAATAGAATTTTTTACTACAATTAGGAATGTACTATATTGGGGGTTTCCTCCTCCTATATAAAGGGGACCCCAATCATTTTGTAGGATCATCTGATATTATTCTCTGCAATAGAACATTTCGCTCTGCCTTTCTTGTTTAACGTGCTCAACAATTATTCTTTAGCTTTACTGCTCATACTTTATTGTTCTTAGCTGACCTCGATGTCACTGGGATAACCGAGCTCGAGGCCCCTATTGCTCCAGCAACACTGATTTGGTTCACTTTTTCTTCTTACTTAAGCTCAATATTACTTGTATAATCACTAATATTAGAATATATCACATATCTTTCAAACCACAAACTATCTTTAATTGTTACTCACATTTTTCGAGGTAAACACCAACCTACACAAAGACTGGCTCGAGAGGATTAATGTTTCACAATGCTACTAGACCTAAAGCCATTTTCACTATGTGATTGTAATGTCAAGGGAGACTCTTAACTATGTACTCTGTCATTTTGGTTCAAGATAAGAGACCACCTATTTACAATATATGGATATGCTAAAGACATTTGGAACATACTTTCTAAATGGGGACAACTACATAACACTGTGATAAACACATGGAATCAACATCTGTAGTACATCAACAAACTTTTCAAAGGAAAGACAACATCAGTAAAGATTCTTAAGATGATATATGTTGAATACACATATACACTATGGAAGGAAAGGAACCATAGAGTCTTTTAAGGGATAACTAGAGATTATGAAAGTTTGGAAAGGGAGACGTCCTGTATATACAATATCAGAACAGATGGGATGGTGACATGCTTAGTACAGAAATTCTATTTTTAAAATTCTGAAACTATCATTTTCATCATTTCTTATTAGACTCAGAAGATAGATAGCAAAAATTTATAGGGGGATGGAGAAAATTGTCATTTCTTTCTTTTTTGAGAATTGGCTAGCTGAGAACTGCTATGCCATTCTATGTAACGCTTCTCGTAGTGATCAATGATAAATTTTAATTACCACAAAAAAAAAAGTTTGACGAGATATTAATTGTTGCTCAAAAGTAATTTTTAAATTGATTAGCCAAAAATAAACCACTTCTCATAAGAAGTACATTTTTGAAAAGTAATTTTGAGAAAAATACTTTTTCAAAGTAGAAAGAAGTTCGGCCAAACAGACTATTAGGCTACGAACTGAGCCTTAGTGGGACGTATCTCAAAATCGCCCAACATTTGTAGCTTCAAATGTTAGAAACTTTTGTCTTATAATATTCAATATTCTATCTAATTTGATTTTGGGTATCAAAGCCAACATTAGTTAAGGAAAGCCTACAATGATTTTTTTTTAAACAATTAACTTGTAAAACATATCCTTGCAAAAATCACTTTTACTTTATATAGTAGATATCTTAAAGAACTTAATTTTAAAATATTTGTGCATCGTATCGTGTCCAACGACAAAATGATACATGACTACTTTAGAACAATCAGCTTACACTTATTAGTTGGTCATGATATATATTACATGATGCTTTCCTGAGATGTCTTGGAAGGACGAATAAGTCAAACAAACCGACTTCCTTGTGATTACTTTCCGCCAACCGAAGGCCCTCTCCGCACGCTAGAATAAACTGTCAGTGACGTGCGAAAAGTCAATATCAAGATCACAGTTTGCAACGAGAGAATTGAATGAAAGCTTGCTTGTATTAACAGAGAAAAATAATTACAAGAGATCCAACGTGGTGTCAGGGGGAGGAGACACCAATATAGAGATTTGATTGCTTGCAGAAAATTTCAACGGATATACCCTCCTTATATATGTCTTAAAAATAAAAAGCTAAGTTACAAAAGTAGACATAAATAAGCTAGATAATCATAATCCAAATACAAGAAGTAAAACTACTATATATTTACATATAAAGGGACTTGTATGGGGTCAAATTCTGCCCACTACGGTAGCAACGACCCACGACTAAATAATAGCCGAAGTAGAGGGGACGACCTAAGAATGTCAAAGCGAAAGCGTGCCCTTAGGTCTCGTCGTCTCCTCGAAAGCACATGACCTATCCCTGTATTATTTTATTATTTTTGAGGGGGTTCTCTTGTTATATAAAGGAGAATCCCAATGTCGTAAAAGGCATGAGATCTTTCAATAAGAAGCTATCTTTCTTTCTATTTCTCTCTCTCTCTAAACAAGCTTTCTCTTACTCTCTGGAATATCCAAGTTGTTGAAACAATCACAAGCATAATACAAACTTCTAGGTCTCATTATATTCGATCATGATTTACCTGTGAATTATTTTGATTGTTTTTCGCTTATAAAGTAATTAGGATCTTTTGAGCAAAACAATTTGGCGCCGTCTGTGGGGATTTCGGCAATCGAAATCATAATTTGCACCTAGAACATCAAAAACAAACCACCTCCCTTCACACCCTACTGAAATCGAAAAATGGCAGAAAATGACGCAAGATTGAAAGCAATAGCAGGCGTCACAACCAACCTCATAGGCCCCCTCAACGAGGCCGGCAGAGAAAACATCTTGAGCACAACACCTGGTAGCACTCGAGAGGGAGAAATCTCACCCTCCCATCTGAAGATCTGACGATCTTGCAAGAAAAGGGAGCTTCCACGTCTGTAGTCAAAGAAACACCACCCCCGGTGGTCAAGAAGCTACTGGTAGAATGGCTGACGAACACCCTAGGCAGCTTGCTCGAAAAATCGCCCCAAAGCAACATTAAGAACCCGTTGACGACAGACATCGCTACCACCAGTGAACACGATACTGTACGTACAAACAACAACCACACCAATGACCAGACCAGCGATGGCACACTTGTAGCCATCCTTAAAAAATGGAGGAAATGGAGAATGAAAACAAGGAACTTCGGGATCAGATGAAAGAGCATCAGGAAAGAGTAGACAAAATTCCCGGCGCTCCTAAGTTACTACCAAAGCGCGACGTGGGAAGATTCGTCGAACAACCATACAGCGAAGAAGCTGCACCTCACTCGATCCCAAAAACCTTCAAGATGCCACCCTACTTAAGGATATATGATGGGACGACGGACCCCGAAGACTACCTGATCCACAATGTGACCGCTTTGAAGGGTAACGATCTGTCAAAGGAACCAGTACCATCCGTACTGCTGAAAAAGTTCGGAGAAACGTTGACGGGGGGGAGGGGGGGCGCTAACATGGTACTCACAGCTGCCAGCCAGAACAATATCAGTTCACATAACGCTCTAAACACGGACGCAGGCACAGACCCCGTGAGGAATGCACACAGGGAAGCCCGAGCCGGAGGCCAGGAAACGCGAGGAATGGAAGAAGGAGGAGTCAGCCTCCAAGTGATATTCGAGATGCTGCAAGCTCAGCAAGTCACCATTGCACAACTTCAGAGTCAAAACAGAACTCCAAACACCGCCGAACCAGTGGACACCCGGCATACGGAACCTGCACCTGAAAGGCCTGATGAAAATGGCTTGGGGACTGATCCCGCTATTATGAAAATGCTCGAAGAGCTGACCAAAAGAATCGAGTCCGGAGAAAAGAAAATTGAAGAAGATGACAAAAAGGTGGAGACATACAATTCAAGAGTCGACCAGATACCAGGAGCACCTCCGATTTTGAAAGGACTGGATTCAAAAAAGTTCATACAAAAACCTTTCCCCCCAAGTGCGGCTCCAATACCCATTCCCAAGAAGTTTCGCATGCCCGACATACCTAAATACAACGGAACAACTGACCCTAATGAGCATATTACTTCATACACTTGTGGAATCAAAGGAAATGATTTGAATGACGACGAAATCGATTCAGTATTGTTGAAAAAGTTCGGGGAAACATTATCAAAAGGAGCTATGATCTGGTATCACAACTTAGCACCTAACTCCATTGACTCATTTGCTATGTTGGTGGATGCCTTCGTGAAAGCACACGCTGGGGCCATAAAGGTGGCCACAAGAAAATCGGACGTCTTCAAAATAAAACAAAGGGATGACGAGATGCTAAGAGAGTTCGTGTCCCGGTTTTAGATGGAAAGGATAGAATTACCATCGGTCTCCGACAACTGGGCGGTTCAGGCCTTTATGCGAGGTTTGAATGAAAGAAGTTCGATAGCATCTCGACAGCTAAAGTAGAACTTGATCGAATATCTAGCTGTAACATGGTCGGATGTGCACAATCAGTATCAGTCTAAAATTAGGGTCCAGGACGACCAGTTGGGAACCCCCTCGGGCTCAGTTCACCCGAACAGATTCGCAACCAAGCCCCCGAGGGACACAGACCGGGGATCGAGATTTAACAAGGAAAGATATCGACCGTACATCGAAGATAGAAGGAATGTTTCAAGGCGTAATGCACCTCGGAATGATCGAAGAGTAGATCGAGGCCAAAGCTCCCGGGGACTTATAGGAAAAACTGGGTCTGACAGGCGCTCGGGACCAGTGGAGGCCCCTAGATTATCGGAATACAACTTCAGTGTCGACGCCTCAAGTATCGTCTCAGCCATTAGCAAAATTAAAGATACTAGATGGCCCAAGCCCATACAGACAGATCCTTATCAGAGAAACCCCAACTTAATGTGTAAGTATCATGGTACTCACGGGCATAAGACCGAGGATTACAGACAGCTTAGAGAGGAGGTAGCCCAACTATTCAACGAGGGGGCACCTTCGTGAATTTCTCAGTGACCGAGCCAAAAACCATTTCCGAGAAAGAGATGCAAAAAGGAAGAATGAACCTGAAGAACCTCAACATGTCATTCACATGATCATCGGTGGAGCCGACGTCCCACAAGGACCTGTATTCAAACGTACTAAAGTATCCATCACAAAGGAAAAACGGACTCGGAGCTATGTGCCCGAGGACGCTCTATCATTCTGCGACGAGGAAGCAGAAGACGTGTCCCAGCCTCACAACGACGCCCTGGTAATCTCTATCCTTTTGAATAAAATTCAGGTTAAACGTGTTTTAGTGGATCCAAGTAGCTCGGCGAACATAATCAGATCAAGGGTCGTGAAATAACTCGGCCTGCAAGATCAGATCGTACCTGCATCCCGGGTGCAGAATAGCTTTAACATGGCAAGTGAAACAACGAAGGGAGAAATTATCTTGCCAGTAAACGTGGCCGGGACCATACAAGACACCGGGTTCCATATCATCGAAGGCGACATGAGGTATAACACACTCCTCGGGAGGCTATGGATACACAATATGAGGGCAGTGCCTTCGACTCACCATCAGATGATGAAGTTCCCCACAGAAGAAGGAGTGAAAACAGTCCACGGAGAACAGCATGCTGCAAAAGAGATGTTTGCGATTGAGGAAGTGGTACCGATACCGGAACCCTTGACCTCGGAGATATCGAGCTCCAAAGATAAGCAGGTGGCTAAGTAGTAGTCACAGCTTCGAGCCTCGACGGAAGCAGAATAACAGGTAACCGAAGGTGAAGAAAGGAATTCCCCAAATCCTCGAACCTTCGTTGTTCCCAAGAAGCCCGATGCTATCAAGTCAACCGCTCAAGAGAAAGGTACACCTGGGAACGGGATTAATCCCCGCACTCAGGGAAAAACTCATTTAGTTTCTTATTAATAATATAGATCGCATCGCTTTGCCCCGTTTAAATATGAAAGGGATTCCGCTCGAAGAATAAACAGGTAAAATAATTAAAGCTTATATTGATGATATGATTGGTCAAGTCCCTGTGCGCAGAGGACCACTTTAATTCATTTGCAGGAAATAACCAACGTTTCGTGGCAACGCGGCACGAAGCTCAATCCAGAGAAACGTGCCTTCGGGGTTAGCACGGGTAAGTTTCCCGTCTTTATGAGTCAGATCGAGGCATCAGAATCATCCCCGACCAGGTCGAGGCTTTCAAAGATATTACGATCGCGGATAGCAAGATAGGACCGCATTGAGCCCTCGGAATCGTTGTCAAAGGATTTTACAAGCCCGGCATGAAGGGAGCTCTCAAAGGCGCATGATCTTGAAGACACCCTTTTTACACGAAGGCCTTAGGTTTTAAAGCATATGTTGCATTCTTTTTCCCTTGGCTCGGGTTTTGTCCCAAATGGGTTTTACCGGCAAGGTTTTTAACAAGGCAACAACTATGCGTTGCCTAAGGAAAACTCAACAGTATCCAAGGTTTCTTTTTAATCAACCTCGGATACTTGGGGGACATCACCCTCGGAGGTTACATTTTTGAGAAAGACACTTCATGCCTAAGAGGGTCTCGATAGGAGAACTTTGTAATGGGCCAAACGATCAAACGAACCGTGCCCATATAGAATAGTCGAGCCCCGACGGAAAAAACATGTACGCATGTATCAACTATTTAAAGAAAGCATTCTGGTTACATCAAAGATCTTTGTGTCTCGTACGAGCTCTACACTTACAATCCTACGGGAAACGGCTTAAGAGCAAAAACATAGAAGCGCCCCGAATACTCGAGGACTGTCATCAAAAATCCAAAATTATAAGACCTCAAAGAGGCACCCCTTCGAAACAAAGGCCAAGGCTAATATTCTCGGGGACTAACTTCTCGAACAAGTTCGGAAAGTTATCGAGAAACAAGTCCAAGTGACGTACCCGAAGGCTACGGCAATACTAAAGACTACGATCATATAAAGGCTACGGCCAAATAATGCGGCTCGGAGATGTCCGACTTCCGCTATAAATTAAAGGCCTTCAAACACTTTGTAAAAACCGGTTAAATCAGGCTACCCTCGGCAAAAGCAAAATACAAAGGGCTTCGATAACTTCAGCCCTCAAAAATTCCAAGGGTTTCGATAACATCGGCCCTCGGAAATACCTCAAGAGGTGTTCAATTTTGTTTACACAAACAAATCACTAATAATGTTCCAATATGTCGAACCTTCGAAAAACCTACGGGTGCAAAAAATGCATGCTAAGGCATAATTAAAATTTCACTAAGTCTTTTAAGCCGAAATGAGGGAAAAATTATCTAGCCATTCTAAGAGCCCAAGGGCCAACTTAAAGAGCCTAAGGGCCGATTTATAAGAGCCCAAGGGCCAACTCAAAAGAGCCTAAGGGCCAATACATAAGAGCCTAAGGGCCAACCTCGAAAGGCTTAAGGGCCTAAAACTTATAGTTCAAAACTCCGCTTTCATTTCGATCCGGACTCGAGGTTCACAATATCCCGAGCTCACAACGAATTGGTTCAGACTCAGGTCCAAAATTATTATACCTATCGATAAAGATCTAAGGGTTTATAATACCTCGAATCAATCCTCGGAATAATCATTCAAGCGAAGTTTTCTATAAATAAAGGCAGTGTTGAATAAAAGCAATGTTAAAGACAAGATAAAAGGTTCCCCCCATATCTCCAAAAGATGATTGCAGGAAATATTTACACAAGGAAAGCTTACAAGGAAACAAAATAAAGTAACCTAAAACTACTTCAGGGTCACATCCTTAGCAGCTGCATCTTCAGGAGTCACATTTTCGGGAGCCTCGCCCTCGGGGACTTCATCCCCGTCTCCTTCACTCTCGGAGACACTGGCTGAATCATCTTCATTGAAAAGCAGAATGGCTGCCTCTTCTTCCAAAATCTTCTTCGCTTCAATATCGGCTGAAAGATCGAAGCCGCGAGCATGTATCTCCTCGAGGGTCATCCTCCGGGATTAACGCCTAGCATGGTCAAGGGCACTTGATAACTTAGCCTCCGCCGTAGAAGAGATCTCCTTTGCCCGAGCATTAGCTGCTTCGGCATCGCCTCGATATGAATTCATCGTTGCCGCAACATCGGATCTGGCCTTGGCCAGCTCAGCAGCAGATCTGGCTTTAAGCTCCTCGATTTCGATGCCCTGAGCTAGGTTCTCCTCCTTCGCACCTCGAAGCTGGCATTCCAGCGAAGCTAACTGCTCCTTTAACGTTTCCTTCTCAGAAGCGAGATTGTCCATACCTTGCCTCCACCTCAGGGCCTCGGCTTCTTTCATCTTAATCTCCTCCCGAAGCTGCGTCTCCAAGTCAGCTTTCTGATGGAATTGCGAAATTAAAAGTGTCAGCTGCCAAAACAAAACAAGTACATAACAAACCCTCGGGAGCTATATTACCTTCTCAACATACTCGGCTCGACCTTGGCACGCCTGCGTCAGCTCGACTCGAAGATCATAGATCTCCACCTCTTTCTTAGCATATAAGGCTTTGACGGCGTCTCCTCCAAAATCTTCTTAAGCTCGACCTCGCATCGAGCAAGATCGTCTCGGGACTTGGAAAATGCCCTTTTATGGAGCACCACAGCCTTCATGAAAAAGAAGGAAAGATAGATTCAAAACAGCTAAAACAAAGGCGCAGGCATAAAAAATAGAAAACTCACTTGTTTAAAGAGTTTACGAGCCTCATCAAAAATGAAAGAAGATTCAGGGTCGGGGCCATCTTCAAGCCCTGTGAGACATTCTTGAAAGATGTCGTGCCCTTCATGACTTGCTTCCACCTTAGAAGACCTCATATTCAGAGCCTTCTGGATTTGTCCCTCGGAGAACTCGGGGCCAGGAGGAGAATCATCCACGTTGATCACCCCGTGAGATCCATTCGGGGCATTCTCTTTTATTTGAAGAGGCTCGGGGTTAGGTCGTTCGGCCTCGCCCTCTTAATGATCTCCTGTGCGAGGTGCCTTCTTTATGGATGATAGTTCGGGGACTTTGTTTGAACTCCCTTTGGAGATTTCTTCGATTCTGGAATGAGCCACATCAACCGCTACTGGTTCGGTGGGCTTCGAAGCATCGTCATCCTTTCTTTTACGGTTTACCAGCAGGCAATCGCCATCTTGTTCTTCCTCCTGGTCCTGAAGATGTTGGGCCGTTTCCGGAGATAAGGGCGCTGCATCTGCCTTAGGCCTTCGAGCCAAGCTTTTCTTTGGCTTCGGGGGATTTTCAGATGACTCTCTCCTCCTTTTTCTTTCTTTGGGAGGCTTCGGAGCCTCCACTTCACCAGCTGGGGCCGGCCTCGACTCAATGGAGTCTCCAAGACCTACGTGAAATCGAGATCGGTATCCCGTAACAGAAATACTAAAAAACAAACAAGAGAACTCACCATGGTTTTTTGCCTCCCATCGACCCTTGGCCAGATCTCGCCAGCAACGCTCCGAGTAAGAGGAGGCGGAGGCCAGTTTTCGGACCCAGCCCTCGAGGTCCGAGACCCCACCGGGAAACCAAGCAGCGGCTACACCATCGTAAGATGTTAGATCAAAGAAAAATATAAAGTCGGGGAAAAGAAAAGAAAGCAGGGTATACTCATGTTTCGTGTTCCAGTCCTCGGGGAACGACATTCAATCAGCAGGAATCAAATCGGAAATTAATTTGTCAAAAATCATTAAAGGCAGCCTACAAGTCGAGTTCGAGCAAACACTCACTCGACTATTAAGCCCAAGGGCTACCCGAGTTCGAGCAAATTCTCACTCGAGGACTATCTATAAAGCCTAAGGGCTAACTTTATTTCGAGTTCGAGCAAACACTCACTCGACTATTAAGCCCAAGGGCTACCCGAGTTCGAGCAAATTCTCACTCGGGGACTATCTATAAAGCCTAAGGGCTAACTTTATTTCGAATTCGAGCAAACACTCACTCGACTATTAAGACCAAGGGCTACCCGAGTTCGAGCAAATTCTCACTTAGGGACTATCTGTAAAGCCTAAGGTCTATCTTTATTTAAAGTTTGA